AAACCGCCCGGAGAGTGCTTGTAGCGTTATGGGGCGGTATATAAGTCCAATAAATAAATAAATAAATAAGTCAAAGATGAGCAAGGACTTATCTTTACCACCCTCACTCTGAATGGAAGAATGCTTTCATCTAGTTTTGCAGATCGTATTGACTAACTGTTGAAATAGGGGAAAGGAAAGATTTCACAGGAGACAAAGATGCTGCAATGCTCCAAAGCTAAGATGGGGTTGCTTAACTAAAAACAACGGATTCCCTCTACATGGGGCATCCAAAAGTACCACCAGCAGCACTGGCTTTCCATAAAACATTCTCCCATCAACTTTACACAGAATCCTTAACTACATTGCTAAAGAAACAACTGAAGGAAGTATAATGACCATGGGTGTTTCTCAATTTCTCAAGTTGCTTATTTTGCTTCAAATCCAAATTTTAAAGAGCATTTCTCATGTTACTTTATCCATGGAAGACTGGGGACCAGTAGCTTCCTTTTGTATGGTAGCCCCATCAAAGTGCCGGATATGATGGACAACTAGTCTCTGGGACCTGAAATAGCCTTGCAGGAGAAGGAGCTGAGGTTACTCTCAACACTCAGGCAAAAACTAATAAACATTTTTGAAACAAAGACAAAAAACAACTTAAGGACAAACTGCAATATTTTAATGTGAACTTTCATGGACAAGTCAACTTCTTTAGACAAGTCAACTTCTTAACACTCGCTTGCCCTACGTTCTGAAATAATTTGTGTAGTGGTGTATTTACAAGAGTCTGTGTAAAAGAAGTCAAAAGCTCTGTCTCTGCCATACAGCAATGGTTTGCAAGATGTGGTCCTTGTACCTCCATGAAAGCCCAAGAATTGCCTAGGCTGACCTGGGTTTCTGGGAGTCGTGGTCCAAAACACCTGCTTTCGCAGTGTGGGCTTTGTGCATGCTTCCACCTTTAAGGAAAGGAGTGTGCCTATACATACGTGACCTGGGTTTCTGGGAGTCGTGTCCAAAACACCTGCTTTCTCAGTGTGGGCTTTGTGCATGCTTCCATCTTTAAGGAAAGGAGTGTGCCTATACATACATTCTCCTGAGGAAGTATAAAAATAAATATTGATGTCTAATGGCTAAATGTTTAGTTAAGGTTACCTTCAAAACATTAGTTTTTAAACATTATATTTATTGGTGGCATTCTGACCCATGGGAAAAGTGAATTTAATGTTAACATGTTAAAATTAATATGTGATTTCCAATCTCTGAAAATCTTCCTCAGGCCTGCTGTCCTATAGGGAAATGGTTCGTTTCACTCTCCATCTCTTATTCTTCCGCAAACGAAATGCAAATGTTCACCTTAGTCCTGCTGGCCATTAAGACAGTAGATCAAAGTTTAAATCTAGAGCAAACATACTGGGGAAAGCTAAAAGGTGTTTTGAAAGAACTGCATGACCAACCCCCCCTCTCTCTCTCCTTCGCCCATTCGTTCTTAGGTGTCTCCCCATCTCTTCAATAATCCATTTGTTGCTTCATACAAGAGGCTGAGAGTGCCAGTTGATAACCTCATCATACCTGTTTTACATGGCCTAATGGGAACAAAGAGCTAAGGTCAGACCTCAAGACACTTCCTTCTATCAAACTCAGGAAACCAAATATTCTAAAATGGCAAACCCTGTAGTTTCATGCTATTTAAAGATCTGAAATAATACCCCATGCCAGTTTTTTTAAATTCTTTTGCATTAAAGGGTTTTTTTAAAATAAGAAGACAATTAGGAGCCTCTGACATGAAATAAATTCTGCTGGGGGGAGAATAGGAGAAAGGTTGTGTATGATATCTATACATACTCTTGCATGTCTTGTATCTTTAAATGTAAGCTATATGGCAGCCAAACAATTACAGTGTTTAGAGAAGTTGATGGCCTACATCTGTTTAAAAGACTTCTCAGTGTTTAGACTATGATTGAAAACATTCTGCAAAGTGTAAGTATAAATTTGCAAAGTCTGATTTAAAAAAAAACTTTTCAAGGAATAGAATGCTTGGGGCATAGGATAGAGGGATTACCCATTAAAACTATTAAAATGTTCAGTATTGTTAAAAGTGTGTTGATTGTAGGCCTTTTCTTCAAGGAAGCAAAATTCTTAACCTCATTAAGATACTGTTTTACAGTTCAAGGAGTTCTGAGCTGAGGTCCACCCTTACTAGCAAGAATCGGTTCTGTCCTTGGAAAACAACAACAACTAACATTCTTAATGCATTTCAGTCCTGCAGAGGAGCTATTACAGGGATCTTCTCTGTGCTATTACGTTTGTTTGTATTTCACATGACAGCATAAATGGAGACAATGGAACTCACTGCCATATGCTGTTCTTGCTACAGGCAGTGTCAAAATGTTTACTTATGCAGAGCAGCAATCTTGACACCTGTGCATGCACTTTGGAATCTGCAAGAAGATAGAGCTATACAGATGCTAAAATCATCTCCAAACGTTACCGGTTACCATAGGTAGTGTACAAGTCAAGGCGAAGGAGGGACGGTCACATTTCCACTGATCCTATATTTAATTCTTGGGTAGCAGAATGGGGCATTTTAACCTTCCTTTTGTTGCACAAATCCACCCAGAATCTACAATAAAAGCACAATGTTGTTGTTTTTTCTGAAGATTTGTGAAGGATCTCCGAGGTCCAACCACTGGCCATGTATGGTTGTTTTCTTCCAGACCAAAAACATCAAGGTCAAAAATTGTCCCCCCCCCCCACAAAAAAAAATTAATTGCCATTGTGGTACTTTTATCCTAGCAAATGTAATAAACAGTCCTATGTCTGTTGTTCCTGTTCTTCTTGTTGTTATTCAAAAAGTACAAGACACAGTCTTTGACTGGTTTTATATATCAGTGTAATATGTATGCTGTTCCTAATATTGCCATTTTTTGTAGCTCTGATGGTGTTATTTCTGAGATCCGCAACTAATACTGTGTGAAATTTCTTGATATTTTTCCCAAAGCCCTGATGACTACAGGGACCAATGAAGTTGATTTCATCCACAAGCGGGTTATTTCTATTGCCAGGTCTCTGTATTTTGTTAATTCTTGTAATTCATTATCTTCAACTTTGGCATCCCCTGGAATATTATTACTATTACTGCAAGCTATGATGGTGAGAAATGGGAGATAACACATTCTGGTTGTCAGTGGGTTGGCCCCCAAAATGGGCAGGTTGGAATATTCAGTTGGGTCAAACCTTAATACCAGCCACGATCCTAACTCTGACCCTCAATAGACTGGAATGCTCACAGGAGTGAAAAGAATATCCCACAATGCACTCAGTACTAATTTTCTTAAGATTGGCACATGAAGGTTCAAGTACCTTAATGTCAATTCATGATATAAGTTGATGTTGACTATGTATCAAACTATATACATAGACACCGACAATGTCTCTCATATAACTTTAGAATAGATGAATACTTTATAACAGCTCACTAAGGAAGTTTAGTCTCCTACAACTCCCAGTTGGTATCACATATATAAAAAGAGTGTTCACAAAATTTAGAGAGGACCTGAGTGCATAGTTTCAATCATGTATTAGTAATCTCTTTTCTGTCAATCAAATAATGCCCTGTTACAAAAATAATGCAGATATTTCAACTACTACTAGAAGCAATGTTAATTCAAAGCAGAGTTGGGAGAGTTTATGGGGGTCTCTATCCCACCCCCCCTTAATCAAAGACATCCTTCTTCATCAGTAAATGGAAATCTCACTACAAATCTCCCTGCAGGCAGCACTCCTTAGGTGACACTGGAGCCTCTTAAAAACAATGACATTCATTCATTTGACAAAGTTTTGTGGGGTGATTTAACTGATTTGCTGCATCTTTTATTTGAACCAAGGCAGGTTTTATGCATAAAGAATACAAACACCCCTGAACTGGACTCTCAGCTCTGATGCTAATTTAAAACACATGCTGTGGGGACGTGGCTGGGATTCGTTATGTTTATTAGATGTCATATTGAGAATTCCAAGATGCAGCTTGTAAACCAGACGAATATTTATTAAGAAACAACATCAGCACAACCCTTTACGAGCTTATAGAACTATTGTTTTGAGTTATCTCTGCGGTTTTTGCTAAGGGTCAATTCACATGCCCATATATATAGTGCCTGCAAAATAGTGTAGTTTACATGGGTATATGTTTTTTTTTCAAACTCAATATAAAGCCGTCCTTTCTTTCAACTTCAGTTTATAGAGGGGGTTTTCCGCATGTCGGGAGGTGGATTTTGCTCAGTTCCTCATTGCTAGAAATTACCTCTCCTTTTTTTTTTTACTCAATACTCATTTTTCATGCAATACATACACAAGTGTTGCCTCTCACTTGCCACACAGAATCCAGACATGTTGGTTATTAAGATCATGTTCAGCCAAAACTGCATGTGCTATGCTCTGTTATGCATGCCAAGATTTTAGGAGTTTCCTTAAGGATACTGTATATCCGATGCTTCCTTATGGAAATGGAAGCCCCATTAGTTCCTACAGGCAGTCTCTACAGTCTGTCCTTGCAACATGGCAAGCTAGGAGCTGAAGCAGAACTACGCTGGTGAAGCATTTTGTTCAGCTACTGTTCAGTGCAATCCCTGTCACTGTCTTTAAGATAACAAGCCTTCTCTCTGTTGAATTTTCTTTGCATCAAAGCATTTCTTGGTGAAGCATTTTGATCAGCTACTGTTCAGCGCAATCCCTGTCACTGTCTTTAAGACAGCAAGCCTTCTCTCGCAGGGATGTTGAATTTTCTTTGCATCAAAGCATTTCTAAACATTCAGAGCATTCAACATGCATTCTGTGTTTAGCTCCTACATTGTTGCTCCATGGGGCAACTCTATGGCAGAGTGCTGCAAATATGGGTTGAGTGGGATCTTTTCTTCTCAGGGTGGAGATTCGGTCTCTCAAGTCAACAGATTTCCAGGCCGGAAAAGGAGGTGGCAGACTCTTCTGCTGCCAGTGGGGTGGCCCTTTTTTCGTATCACAAAGGGCAGTCCCTTGTGTAACAATTGCAAAATAATGTGTGTGCATGTAGACAGACAATGTAGATTTCAGGTATTAACTTCTACAGAACCTATATGTGCAATATGCATGCACACATTTTCATAGTGAGCCAACAGGAATGTGGTGACAGTTGGGAATGAGGGGGACATGGGCATCCAAGTGATTAGGCTTCCATACAGCTGAAATCAGATCCCTGTGTGTTTCTCCACCATTGCTTGCCCTGAGCTTTGTCTTCCCACCTTGAGACTTCAGCCAGGTGCCCTGTGATCGGGCAACCTGACTAGAGAAAGCGTCTCATCTCAGAGGGGGAGATATGGTTTTAGAACAACAGTTTCCAGCCCCCAAAAGAAACAGTCAAAGCCTTTACTTCTCCAAAATTAGGACTCTGACATTGGAGTTGGAGGAAATTAGGAGGACCAGGAAGCATTCCTAAGGCAGGCCAGAGAGGCTTAGGGTCCATAGAACCTATGATCCCCCATCTTTGTTCTTCAGACATGTCTCCAGAATAAAGGAAGAACTATGACCTAGAACTAACATTACAAATTTCCCAGAGGGTACACTTCAGATATACTGGAAAACATACAGCATTTATTCCAGCAGGATTTGGGATTACTCGGAGGCTGATGCTTTAAGGGCTCTTCTAACAGATGCACAGGATTGCCCAGAGAAATATTTTACAGACTAGTAGGTTGTGATGCTGCACACACCTACCTGTGAGTAAATCCCATTGGCTAAAATTCTGTTGCTTACTAGAGTAAGCCCATTAAATCAATAAAAACTATGGAGGAACTGAGTCATCAAATCCCCGCTGATTTAATAGGCTTATTCTAGTTGCAGTTTACTATGCTGAGCACCAGGATTTCAAAGAGACTTGTTTCTTACCAGACATGCTTATGATTTTAGTCTTAGAAAATGAGAGCTCTGTTAAGAAGTCTAACCTTTTTACTTCCTTTTTAAAAAGGGGGACGACTTACGGTACTCTTTCTAGCACTACAGTTATATCTAGTCCAATGAAACATAGACATAGACATAGGCATGTTACTCACTAGTTGTGACATGTGAATTCCTATCCTAATCATTTATGTATTTTGTTTTGTGTTGTTTTCAAAGTATTTAAATATTTTAATGCTAATTGTAAGTCTTCTGCAAATTCATGCAGGATAGCTACAAATGTGGGTCTCTGGTTACTTCTGCTGTCATGCATAGGCTGTAACCATCAGGCAGGGTTGCAAACAGACTGAGACTAGTGATGAACACAATTGTAAAATAATGTTGGTGCATGTAGACAGACAATGTGGATTGAAAAACGATGAATCGGGATGGTTTGTGGCTATCCACGAATCACAAACTATGACCCCGAACCCTGGGAAAACAAACTGGTTTACGGTTCATTTTCCTGCTTCATGCTGGGGAGGGCACGAACTTAACACCTCCACCTGCCACCCCCTTCCCACTGCCCCATTCCCTCCCTACCTAGTCATGCTGCCTCACCTGCCAAAGGTGTGCACATGGGCAGAGACAGCAGGCCCAGCTCCCAGAAGGGAAGCCGGGTTGCTGCCTCAGATGATGACAGCAGCAAAGGAGGAAGAGGTGGCAGGAGCAGGTAGGGAAGCAAAGGGAGCAGCATGAGGGGGGGGATCGTTTTGCTGAAGCAAAATTAAGCACCTAGTAGAAAAAAAAGTTTGGCTCTTCATTTCATTTTGGCAAAAGGGGTTGCATGAACCAAACCAGCATGGTTTGTGGGTTTTTCTGGTTCATAGTTCAATATAGAGCCTGTGTCCTGAGCACACGCCTGTACTGCAGTGAGTCCTGGACACTTTGTGCCCGGCAGGAGAGTAACCTGAACACCTTCCATATGCGTTGCCTCCGACGGATTTTTGGTATCCCCTGGCACGACAAAGTTCCAAATAGAGTAGTCCTAGAATGAGCTGGAATTTTCAGCATGCATACATTACTGAAACAGCGACGTCTGCGTTGGCTTGGGCACGTCATGAGAATGGCTGATGGGCGGATTCCAAAGGATCTCCTGTATGGAGAATTAGTGCAGGGAAATCACCCCAGAGGGAGACCACCGCTGCGATACAAGGACATCTGCAAGCAGGATCTGAAGGCCTTAGGAATAGACCTCAACAGATGGGAAACTCTGACATCTGAGCGTTCAGCCTGGAGACAGGTGTTGCATCGCGGCCTCTCCCAATTTGAAGAAAACCTTGTCCAGCAGGCCGAGGCAAAGAGGAAGTCACAAAAGCAGCAAAATAAGGGAGCTGGACAGGGGACAGATTAGATTTGTCTTCAGTGTGGAAGCGATTGTCACTCTCGAATTGGCCTCCTCAGCCACACTAGATGCTGTTCCAAGTCCTCCATACAGAGCACGTTACCATAGTCTTTCGAGACTGAAGGATACCTACAATAGTTCAATTTATATCCATCTCTAATTGAGAGCAGAAATGCAAAATGAGAAGTGGATGGGGGGGGCAGTGCAAGAACAGTGAAGGATGCCTCCTAATAAAAAGTTATGATGATTTAAGAATTGCCATGGTAACCAAGAAGGCCTGGAGGAATCTAAAAGAACCTGAGAAGTCCTCAGGTTTCCACTGTGAGCAAATTTGTTCTGCTGGTTCCAAGTCTTGTGCCCAGCAGGGCATCACACCTTGGATCTTTAGTCCAGGTTTTGTTCCAGTAATCTTGCATTTCCCTTTTGAAGAGAAACATGCAAGAAGCTGTGTTAAAACATGCAGGCATTTTCATCACTCAGGTCCCAAGAGAGTCTGCGTAAAATTACTCCAAACGTTCTTCAAATAACCACCAAAATAGCCTTCCCTGTTCTCCTGACCAGAAAATGAAGGCTCTCCCTCCCCTCCATTGTTCGTCTTTAAGGAAAAATAGCTATGTGTATAAGTGTTGTAGGCCAGCAGGACAGCTTTGGAATTCATTATAGCTCTGTTTTCCTGTCAGACCATCTCCTACTTTATTGCAATAGGCTGAAAACCCTTTCTAAACAAAAAGGAGCTGGTACTAAGACACACACCCAGGCAAATCTGATTCAGTATCCCTGGAGATGGATGAGAAATTGGGGGTGGGGGCATATTTTTGATAAGCATTTAACAAAATTAATAAATCTTCCTATTTGTGGTAGAGAGCATTTGGGGGTGAATGTGGAAATCAAACATTGTTCATGCAGGCAAAGAGTGCTTCAATCTCTAAAGTTTGGCTTTATGTCACTCTGGATTCAAACACATTAGGACAGAATTCTAAATCTCTCTCTCTCTTTCTCTCTCTCTCTCTCTCTCTCTCTCATCTACATGGACTGTTTTGGTGCTGGCTGATGTGGACTAAAGAGAGTTGCTTGGGACTAGGTAGAGAACTGGTGTGCCATTCAGCACAATCCCCACATCCAAAGGGTAACTCCTGCTCCTCCATGGAGGAGCAGAGGAAGTGTTTAATTTGCCAATATCATGAAGCAGCTCTCTTCTTAAGCCACTTCATGATATAGCAAATTGACAGTGGAATGAGTCTTGACTGCCAAAGGCTCATTTTGGTTCATTTCCAGTGATCACAAGTGTGGGAAATGAATGAAAATGAAAGGATCCTACCTGCACAAAAAAAGTAGGAGTCCCTGACAGGGACCTAGAAAGGTGTAGGTAGGAATGCTCTGAGAATGGGCCGGCTTGCTCCGGTGATTCCATTGTGTGGTCACTAGGAAAAGGAGCAAACCAACCTATCCCTGCTGCAGACAAAATAGCAGGCCAAATGCTTGTCTGGTTGCACACACGTACTCTCTTATTTCCTGAGAAGTTTGTTATCTTTAGCCACTACATGGCAAAGAGGGACGTGTTCTCTTTTACGATGATTGTTTTGTTAGGATCATTTTTCATAAGAATTTTCTTCTTAGTAGAAATACCACAGGAATATGTTGCCAGCTGAAAGCCCACTCTTATGGTGTTTCTGAAGACTAAAAGGAGAATATTACTATCAGAGAAACCTTGGCAGATCTGCAACTCTCCACCTCCCTCTCCCGCCCTCCCCTCCCTATTTCTCTCTGTGTATATTTGCTAGCACTATGCTGTAAGATGTATTCCATCCAGAATTGCACATGTTTGAGAACACTTTAAAACTTTAAGGTCTCATCAAGGAGAATTAGTTCTAGAGAACAACCGAAGGACCACCAGCACCCAGCCCTTGGAACTGTGCAGAACATAAGCTTAAATGCAAGGATGGGCAAGTTGTGATTCTCCAGAAGTTGCTGGACTGCAATTCCTGGGATTCCTGGCCAGCTCATCCAAAGGTGAGGATTGAGGGGAGTTGCACTCCAACAACCTATGGAAGGCCACCATTTTCTTAACTCTGCCTTAGCAAGTCAAGTTTTCGCAGCAGAATTTATTGTGCAAATTTCAAGAAAGTTATGGAAACATGATGTATGGGTGAAAAACTCCTAAACCAAGAAAGAGGAGGAAAAGATAGGAAATTCAGAATTTACCTAAGAAAATGAGTACATTATTAAAAAAACAATTATATGAAGTTGATTAAAGAGATACAGAATAGCTTGGAGAGATGAGACAAATTACAGCTATTGTTGATGGGAAGAATAGCAACCATCAAAATGAATGTTCTACCTAAACTTTTGTTTTTATTTCAGACAATTCCCATGATATTAAAACAGTCATTTGTTCAAGAACTTAACAAGATAGTCATGAGATTTGTGTGGCAAGGTAAAAAAAACACCAAGAATTAAAATCAAAGCAATGCAAGATGCCAAACTAAGAGCCGGTTTTGGTCTCCCACGTTGGGCATTGTATTATAGAGCTTGTCTACTAGTCTGGATAAAGGAATGGATAACTTTAGACTACTCAAGTTGGAAGGACATGATTTACAGTTAGGTTGGCATGCTTTTCTATGGTACAAAAAAGATAAAAAGCAGAAAAGTTTAATCTCACATATAATAAGAGCCCTACTAGGGACCTGGAAAAAAGATCATCAAGGAGATTTACCAAAAAAAAAAAAAAAAAACCACCAGGCTGGGTATCACTCATAGAGGCCATTACATTTCCAAAGAAGAATTAGAAACACAAAACATATATCTAGACTGGTGATCCAGAGCACAAGTAGAATCTAGGTATACAAAAGATAAAACAGAGCAGTGGTACCCAACCTTGGGCCTCCAGATGTTCTTGGACTACCACTCCCAGAAGCCTTCACCACCACCTCTGCTGGCCAGGATTTCTGGGAGTTGAAGTCCAAGAACATCTGGAGGCCCAAGGTTGGAGACCACTGAAATAGAGGGCTTTTACACAGAACAAACAATATTCAATAAACTTCTGCTGGGCTCAAATAATAAATTAAGAAAATATATGATTATTTGCTTGGAACTAAAATGCAAGATGAGATGGTAAAAGAATGTATGATTAGGTGGGCACAAAATATAGGACATAATATTGATATTGATTGATGGTTGCAAATATGGAAAAACAACAAAAGCTCACAAAATCAGTAAATTTCAATAAGAACATATATAAGATGTTTTATAGGTGGCATATGACTCCAAAAAATTGTCAACGATTTATACAGCAGTGTCAAATATTTGTTGGAAGTGTGAAGCACAAGAGGGAAGCCTTTACCATATGTGATGATGGACTTGTAGAATAGCAAAACAGTATTGGATAGCAGTACATACTCTGTTACAAAAAACACTGCTTTGTAATGTTCCACTTACCCCAGAATTGTTTTTACTGAGCATTATACCAGATAATATAAATAAGATAAAGAACTACCTAGTTATATATATAATCACTGCAGCCAGAATTCTTTATGCTAAGAACTGGAAGAAATCAGAGATACCAAAACAAGAGGAACTCATTGAGAAGATATGGATATTCTATCAGAAGTGTTGAAAGACTGTCCAGTACATAATGCAACTGAACGATGGGATTTATTATATAAATGGCTTGAGTCCCCAGATAGTGCTTGAATAACATAGAATTAAACTAAGATGCAACTGTACGTTGAAACCTGGAGGGCAATCAAATTGTAGAACGGTGAAAAGTTGACTTTATATTGCAACATGAACAGATTGGATGACAGTACATTTTGTGTTCTCCTCCCCCCTCTTCCCCCCCATATCCCCCTCTACCTTTTGTACTCCTTACCTTATCCCTAGTTGTTAAAAATAAAAAATAAATTTTAAAAAAGGAAATTCAGAATTTACCTAGAAATTATGTATTTTCTCTTTCAGGGGAAACCACATTGAGGTTACAATTATACAAATATCTTCCTGTGCTGTAGTGGGGGTTACTTTTGAACAGACAAGTAGAGACTAGAAAAGACCATAGCAGGCAGTGACACATCTGCTTGCTCTTGCCCTACATTTCCTTGCAGGTAAGCTTCTCCCTTGTTCTTAACTTGATCTCTATGCCAACATCAGCAGCAGTGAATGTATTTGTTTCCAATAAAATGGTAATCCATTTACTGCATGCTTGATGGAAAATGGAAAGTCACATTGGGCTACTGACTCACACACATATCATTTCTGAACTTGAAGCTAGATATCACGTTAGAATATTGACTGTCAATAAAAAGCAAAGGGGAAACATTTCCCAGCACAAGAAAGCAAAAAAGCAAAAGCAAAGCATGCTGCTTATATACCGCCCCATAGTGCTTCAAGCACTCTCTGGGCAGTTTACAAGTTAATTATGCAGGCTACACATTGCCTCCCCAGCGAGCTGGGTACTCATTTTACCAACCTTGGAAGGATAGAAGGCTGAGTCATCCTTGAGCCGGTTACCTGGGATTGAACCCCAGGTCGTAAGCATAGTTTTAGCTGCAGTTTAACCACTGTGCAACGAGGCGCTATGCATAGGCTATGGTCACATTGGCAATTTGAATCAATTTCTGTTCAGACTTTTTAAAAACCAGGTCCAAGTCACATAGTGTTTGAACCTGTCCGTATTCACATGCACTAATGGAAATCAATTTATTTCTGATGATTTAAACTGGTTTTGCCATCTACACGGCTGAAATCAATGCATTTCCTTTCTGTTTTAGGAGCACACTGTCCTTAAAGATTTTGATTTTATTTTTTCCCTCCCAAAAAAGTGATACATCAATAAATTGAGTGTCTAGGAGATGCCACCTGGTGTCCGAATAGTTGCTGGAAATCACCGGGGAAACACTGGAGAGACTGATTAATGATGAAAGAATGAGAATGGTCTAGAAAGCACTACCAGACTCTTCATTGGTTGTGCTGTAACAGGTTACAAAGTAACATACCTATTCCTCTGGAAATTTTTAACACTCATTCATGACACATCATATTGATGGGACTATGGACACAATTCAGTAAGGTTGTTCTTATGTTACTGCATATTTGTGAACTGTCAGAAGGCTTGCTTGAGTCATAAGTAGTCTTCTGCTCCTTTTGAAAGTTTGGGGACCTCCTGCAATCTTACATTGCATAGCTGTCTGGACATTGCAGATAGATCTGTGTGACCAGAGCTTACGCTGAGATAAGGAAATGGATGTGGTGGGTCCCTGCACTTTCTGATTCAACTTTATTTGATTCTGAGGGCAGCAAGTTTAACTTACCAGAGAGGATATGCGAAGTTCATTTTAGCTTCTCTATATTTCCAACATTAAAAGCCTGGATTCTTTTTCAATTGTTAATAAATTGCAATAAGATTTCAGTTTACATTATGGCTTATACAAGATTATGTTGTACTGTAATGACATTCCCAAAGTAGATACAATCTTGAAAGCATATGGAAGCAATTCCCTATTTACAGAGCCTAATGCCTACACGTCTGTGTTGCAAGAAGTAGAGAACTTGTATTTTGATAACACAACCTGCAACAAGTCAAAAAAGATTCAACTATTCCTGGAAAATGAAATTAGCCAATTGTATCCTATTCACCCATGACTAGATCCTGATGTGAAGGGATACTGAAATAAGTTTCTCATTTTCCTTTTCAGTAAAGGGCGGGGGGGGGTTAAACAGAAGGGTCAGGTCACTGTGATGCTGAACACTTTATCCCATCATAATGTCACAGCCCCTTTCTTCTTGTGTACCAAAATCTATTTATTTCCTCTGACATTTAATCCATTCTTGTGCGTCTCCATCAGGTACCCTCAGGACAAAGGAAGACAGAATTTAAAATTAAGAACTTTAAGACCCCCGCTGGCTCAGAGCAAGAGACCATCTAGCACAGCATGCAGCTTCCAACAGAGAACAGCCAGTTGCCTGGAGGAGGCATACTAAAGAAATGGGCTGTACATGTAGTCACACCCACCTTTTAATGGATATTTACCTAGACTCAGGCTCGGTTATTTCCTCATTTTCAAGAGGATTTTTTTTCCTTCCCCCAGGCATTTCCTAGATGCCTGAACTTGGTACCTATTTTGTAACATAAATCCAATTTAATTTGCACAGTTCTGCCTGACTGGGGATGTTTTGTAATAAATCCAAGCTCCATGAAGAATTCCGACCAGGTGATACACTTACAGGCTGTGGCTTCTAATGGAGCACGAGGAAATATCTCTAAAATTTTGTCAAAGAGAAGCCAGGTGGTTGGCAAGGGTGGGTTTGCTTTTTTTTCCTTTTAAGAATATTTACTTTTAATTAGCAATGGTTACACCCTGTTTTTCTATATCGCCCATTGCTGTTTCAGACTCCATTTTGCCCTTGGATATTGACACAGTTGGGAAATTATCTATCTGTGATTTTTTAGCAAATAGTAGATTTTCACACTGTACTCACGTGTTTGGACTGGAGGGTTGTTGTTGTTTGTGTATTTTACAGGTAATATCACTTTTACTTAGTGATATATTTTGGTTAGAATTATTTGGAGCTTAATGTTTGTGTCTTGGACTTATTTGTGTTCTGGAACACTTGTAATAAATGTGGGAAACCTGGTATACAGGGCCCAAACAACATGTTATGTGGAGCATGGAATTATAATTCATAGATAGAAAATAGATAGATAGTTCAGTGAGATGAGTCAGATTGAAAACGATTGATTGCCCAAATGAGTTTCATGGCTCAGGAGGGACCTGAACTTCCCAAGTTTCAAACCAGTACCCAAGCACAATCTCATCAATATATCACATATTCTATAAAGTAAATTAGTTGTTGTTCTTAATAACTTTTCCCTTCCTCAAAATGTCGGTATTCTTTAAAATACTGGTTGCCAACCTTGAGCAACCCAGCTGTTATTGGATTGCAGTTCCCAGAAGCTTTCACCATCAGTTGTGTTGGCTGGGGTTTCTGGGAACTGTAGTCCAAGAACACTTGGGTTACCCAAGGTTGTAAACCACTATTTAAAGACACTCTGTGGCAATCAATATGTTTGGATCTAGAATGGAAGTAGAAGGGGAGACAGTATGTAGAGATCTTTGTTTTGATTCTCACTCTTTATAACTGCTTAACTTGAAGAACATCTGTGGAAGCTCAAGGAATCTGACCTATACTGAAAAAATGAGCACTGATTGGTGATTTATGCTTCAGCATAAGTTTAAAGTTTCACTGCACTTTCCTTTAATCACTCTGCAAAACATATCCTGTTCTTCAGAGTTCATCTGCTAGAAAAATGGTATTGCTTACAATCATGAGAAAAACACTCATCAGGCCTAGCATGTAACAAGATGACTATACAGCAGAATATACACTACTTCCTCAGAACAAGAAGTTTCTGTGAAGCCCTGTGCTTGATAGAAACATGGCCTGTGTTGTGTTGTAAAAGTCACGATGCCCAAAGTAGTTTATTAAAATCATAATTTTGCAAAAGCAAGCAGAGAGGAGAGGAGACATATCAAGTCATTTCAAAGAGCCATAGAAAACACTAATTATTCCAGTGATTTCCTGGAGAATTTGAAGAGCAAGCCCCAAAGCAAAGTTATTGTTAAGTGGCCACATTATAAACATTGTTAGTTTTAGAAGACCGTTTATTGCAGAACTATAAAATGGCACTCTAGGCTCAAAATGGCTACAGGAGCTGAGTTTGCTTCTGAAATATTTGTTGACATTCTGCCACAAAGGGGGGAACAAAAACATGAATTACTCTTCAGTGGATTGGCAGGAGAGAGCAAGAAGATAAGCAGAGTCTAGAGCAAGTGTTTGCTTTACATTGTGTAGGCAAAAGGAACATACTGCTGCTAAATAGAATTCAATATAATGTACTTTAGAGCAGTGGTCCCCAACCTTGGGTCTCCAGATGTTCTTGGACTTCAACTCCCAGAAATCCTGGCCAGCAGAGGTGGTGGTGAAGGCTTCTGGGAGTTGTAGTCTAAGAACATCTGGAGGCCCAAGGTTGGGGACCACTGCTTTAGAGAGTGCTTACACTCTGAAAATGGATTGGGAGATGGATCAGAGGCATTATTTTTTTATATTTTTAAATATTATGTTTTTTATTTCTTTCAAAGTGGGATAGCACTAGATTGGTATTAGAGACCAGGGGAAAATAAAACAGATCGGACTGCAAGATTTATCTGCAGTCCAACATATAGGCACAGAGAAAGAGAAAGAGAAAGAGAGAGAGAGAGAGAGAGATGGGGGTGGTAGAGAAAGAGAGAGTGCTACAGAAATGGCAGTCAGGGGAGAGGATAGACACACCAGTGAGTGTCAAAAAGAAATTGAACAGAGGAACTGACAAGATTGGCTGCATCTAAGCTTGCAAAGAAAGGAGCACTTTTCCCTATCCAATCTTTATCTCTCTGCTGGCTCTCTTTTGTTTTTAAATTCGTGCCCATCTCTAATATAAATAGAGAGATGGGCCCGAATTAAAACCAGACTGAACTGCAGACTTTCCCTGCAACCCAAAATCCATGTCCCAGCAACCATGATTTGACAAAGCTCACAGATAACAATTTACACCAACAGAGGTGTTCACATATAGCAAAATGATTTAAAATAAAGCAATCGTACACGCAATTTTACAAGCAATTTTAAATAAACAAACTTCTCACAACTGAGTAAAATATCTTGCTTTCCAACAAAAGAAACTGTGTTTCTTGGGCAAAAAAAGAAACCACCAAAAAACAATGCTTCCCTGTGTATTGTGCAGTCGGAATTTTTAAGAACGATTTCAAACATGCTAAGCCCAATTTTAAAACAAGTTTTTTTAAAATAAATAAATAAATGTGTAACGGTGCTCTTAGTTTGCTATATTATTATTGTAATTGCTTACTGGGTTCATTAAAGAGAACTATAACTCTCCACTTCGTATGTGCTTGATCGAGAGGAAAAAGTTAAATTCTCCTTTTGATTTTTTTTTGTCATTCCCTCAGTGGTATACTTGCCACTTACCCCATGGCTGAATTTTACACCATTCCAGGAATCCTTGATAAAGAGAGTCCCATGGGATGTCCCATAGATGCTTTTCTTAGAAGCTAAATCCCAAATCACAGCAACTGCAGACCAAGTATTGGGCACAGTTCAACTGTGGAATTTTGCTACTATAAGATGCTGTGGTAGCCATGATCTTGGACAATTTGGAAAGGGAAATAGACTAGGTTTTGGTGGATAGCACTGGCAGTGGCTACAAGTCATGACAGAAGTGTACAACCTCCAGCCTCAGACACAATATGTGTCTACTGCAAGCCACCTTTCTCACTGGGAGAGAGGCGGCCTACAAATGAAACAAGCAAGCAAACAAACATTAGTTTCTATGGAATACCAAATAGGAAGATGCTATTGCATTCATGTCCGATTTATGGGCTTCTCATAACCATCTGGTTGGCCACTACAAGAACAGGATGACAGACTAGAAAGTTGTGCCTTTTATTTTCTTATGATCTTAGAGATCCCAGACAAATGGAATAAAGGCACAAGAAACTCCTGGATGATGTATCGACCTTATCTGATTACCGTATCTAAATGTTTCTGTTAAGGTGTCAGATACAGATAAAACAAGCATACAGAAGAATTACCAATGTAATTTTTATGTCTCCAGGTAAGCCTTGACTCTTTTGCAGGACCTTCTTGGTGGCTGCTCCTAGGCAGCAGAACATCCTTCCAAGGGAGGCTCTACTGACTTCTGTCTAGTTGTTGACAAAGGAACTTTCCACATGTACTGCTATTGTACCTGAGGGTTTCAAACTCCTTTTTAAGAATGGATGTGCTTTTAAATTGCTTTTAATTCAGTAATTCTTTTTATTTGATATCTGGTTTAATAGTTCATTGTGTTTTTAGTTATATTTTGGAATCATATGGCGAGCTGCCTTAGTTCCCAGAGATTGGAGAAAGCTGGGATGTACTATATGATCAATCATAGGCAAATAATTAAATCTTTTTAAAACAGCAACACTGAATTCATCCATCAAAGAATCAAAAGGAACCATGGTCACCATTTTGTCTGATTTACTGGATAATCGTATCCAGTTTTGCCCTTTTGCCTGCCGAAGAAGTCACGTGCCCTGCTTCCGTTTTCACTGATTGCTAAAATAATCCAGATGCTCACCGCCCATGTGTATGCGATTTGACCATTTCATACTTAACCACATTGCAGGTATCACGTTTCACTGCAATCTTCTTTAAAAAGCAGCTACATTTGTCTTTATTTACTTTATGAGTTGATGGTTTGTTCCTTCTCCCAAGTACTGAATAAAGTATTATACAGTAATCAGATCCATCATATGCTTACGTTTGCACAGACATTAATGTTGTATTAACTTAAGTCCTCAGAGTACCCAAGCTGACACTCAAAGCTTATTGCTTTCCCTTTTTAAAAAGAAAAGAAAAGAAAAGATATGCCTCTGGTAGGAAAAATAACTACATCAGAAACAATATCTTGATAATATAGTTGCACTTCTATATCTTTTGACCCACTAAATACATACAACCAAGAGAAAGTGATCTGCTTTGCATTCTGTTACACTCAGCAAATAGAAAATGAAGCCAACATCTGACTAATAAATGTTTTTATTATCGTTTGACTTTTTGACATTTATTATCAATCTGGCATGAAAACAGTCTCTACAAGATGATGCTTTTTTTCCCCCCTAAGAGCTTCGTGCGAGTTCAGTCAATTTAAGGGACAGATGGTGGAGTCTTCCATGTGAAAACTGTTCTCTCATTAACTTCAGATGGCCAAAGAACTCACAGAATAAGAATTCAAGGAAGATGAAGTTATATTTCATACATGTTTTTGGCATCAGAGAACTCTTTGCCACCTTCTGGACTCAATATCTCCCAGAAGGTGGCCATGGTTATTTCTTGCATGTGTTGGGTTGGGTCCAAGATCTGCCTTCCACAAGCAAAAGGGCTCCAATCATGGGTAGCCCATCCCGGGGGGGGGGAGGAGGATACTCAATTTACTCCACAATTTACTCGAATCAGCAGGATCCCTCAATCCTCTGTGTAG